GTCGCCCGTTTCAGTTCGGGTTTGTTGCACTGTATTCCACTCATAAAGACATTAAATTTCATGGACATACCATCAAATGCTTTTATTTTTCTTCCGACTCCTAGCGAACCGTCCTCTTGATGCAGTAGCGTATCACCGACGAAAGTGTTAAACTTATTTTTATGCTCAGTAACATTGTTTAAAATTTTCTAGCTATATATTTATTTTTTATATTTAACCGTCCCGTGTCTTTTTTGCCACCCTGTATAAATGTTTTAAGAAAATTCATAAATAACATTTGAAATTAACGGTTTTTTAACATCTTAGGATTCTAAACCAAACCATCTATAACCTTTAGCGTGGAGTAAATAGCTATTTCCCAGTAGGGAAATTTACTCAACTTTATTATGAGGATATCTATTTATCCGATATGTTCACTATTTACAAAAAATTCAGAAAATTTTCAGAAAGCAATTTTTAAAATAAAAAATTCAGTTCAAAATGCTTTTGTTTTGGAAGCCAGCCTAAAATTTTGGTTGCTCAGTTAGAACTCAGTATACGACCTGACAACATTTATTGCCCAATTAAAATAGTTTACCTACGTTTATTTATGTTAGAGCGTGGTACAGTAACTTCACCAGTATTTAGTCGGTTGTAGGATTGTTGTTGTAACCAAACGTGTATTTATCAGATTGCTACATCAGCTTGTAAATGTCCCATGCTTCCACGCCCACCATCTTCACCCACCATGCATGACTATGGCCAGGTCAGGTAATTACATATTTCATTTAAACTGTATTAGCAGAAAATATAGAATGGTATTGTTCTTATTCATTGATACGCGTATTTGTTTGTTTGATTGGCTCAAGTAACTCTTTGAATAGAATTGTAAAACCGAAACTGTACTAAACACACCTAAAAATGAGCACAATACTTTAGGTGATATTTTCATTAAGAGTACTCTTTAGTTAAATCGTGTGAGATAATATAGAAAGCTTAATTTATTTTATTTTATGTTCAACTTTTGCAACAGATATAACTCGCGGTGTTTGATCTTTTAGTTAAATAACTTCTTGATCAGCATTGTACGTGTTATTAAATTTACGGAAAGTAAATAAAAAACTTCTAATAACACTTAAAACATATATTTACGCTTATAATGTTACTCACAAGACGGTAAATATACATAAAACATGGTCCAAAGTATGGAAGCAAAAAATGCTTTGTTGAAAGGGTCAATACATATTAAACTCATGACAAACCTTTTACTCGCAAGCTAATACCCAGATTAGTAAGTGTGCTTAAGTAAGTATCTGGTTAGTAAGAATCGAAGCTGTACTGTACAAGGAACCACAGGGCGCCACCTGGTATACTGTAGTAGTTGTAGTACTGTAGTAGATAAGTAATATAGTCCATAGGTAGGGCTTGTATTCCTTAAGCAACTATCTTAATGAATTCACCAAATAGTGCTTTTGTATTTTGTTTCTTTACATAAAAATCATAACAAATATATATACACATTTGTATAAACATTACTAACATCTATATAAATAAAATTACAGTTTTGTCTGTACATTGCTTAGAATCATGCAGTTTTTGGTTATTTTTACGTTTCATAGCCTAAGAAAGCCGAAACGAGTCTTATCTCAATTTCTGTATGTATATCTGTCTGTCCATTCTTTGACTCTGTCTGTAACGCCAAATTGTCATTTTACGCGACCTACTCCTAGGAAACTAGAGTACCGATCAAGGTTCTAATCGTTTTTCTGTATTTACTGGATTGGTGAGAGTGTCGTGGGCTATAAAAACATGGCCTGGCTTCTTTGAAAACAAAATAACGAACCATCAAAAACCCAATTTTGTTTGATTTTTGTCAAATTTTCTCCCAATGTTTCCTATTACATTTGATGAAATAACGATCAGCTGTTTGGATTAGTTCTCACTTCTAGCTGTGACTGATATGTTTACATTCAAAGTTGTTTACAAATACCGCAACCATTTTCCGATCAAGTTTTGTCAGCACATCCAAACCAAGTGAGATTAGAAACGTTGTGCCTTACTTAATCTGTTTAATTAATCGCAAGTGCAACGAGTGTTCTTGAGTTTTTATAACCGGGGAAAATACCGTGAATCAGTGTTGTATTAGTGCTGGGGAACTTAAATTTTTTAAATCGTCATCACCAAAAGGTTTAAATCAGGTTAAATCAAAAGGTTTCCGCACTCATTTTTGGCCCTTCAAGGACAGTTGTGTAAAGTGCAAAGTAAAAAATCACAACTGCAGTGGGTGATCGGGGATGTTGCTGCGATCTTGGAAGAACTTGCTGATTTCACTGTGATCGTAACAGAGGTTTAATTTACAGATGTTGCTAAACTCGCTTTTCCAAAGTGTCATTTTTTGTTTCTACTTACTTACATTTCGACAACGATATCGGTACATTTGTTCTACTTAGGAAGTAAAACTACAAACGTCCAAAACCCCAGATTTGTGAGTTTTTTGTCACATTTCCTCCGAATGTTTGCTAGATATATGTATCGATTATCGATTAGAGATTACGTAATATTTTATAAGAAACCTTTGTTTGGATAAAGGTGGTTTCTTCAAACTGTCATTAATATAAACAAATTTAAAGTTATAAATTAAAAGTTAATTACAAATAATGCTATTAATGGGAAATAACTTTGATTTTCGAAAACTTAAAAAAAAAACCAAGTGAGATTATAATAACTACGGTACTGCACCACATCAAGTGAAAGTTTTTTTGAGAAAACCATAGGGAGTTTTTAAAGCATTACGTTGTTAACATAAATGTTACATGTTTTGTGGCCTGTGTATTTATTTATTTTTATATTTGCCAACGGATTAACACAAATAATACAGGTTGATTACATGGACAGTTTGAATTGTTCTTAAGTACTATAGTTCTTTTCATAAATGTAAACGTTGGTTTATGGTACTGCTACTTTTCCTTAGAACCGGTGGTAGCAGTAAGAATCATTTTGACGTACAAACACGTCACTATTTACAACTATAGTTATCGTTAGTGCTGCACCTTATTTCTTATTAAATTTAATTGATGTCTTACTGTATAATTTTTGCGTTTTCTGTCTGGACTCCAAAATGTTAGTTTATCCTATGAAAATGATCAAACATTAGTGAAAGATTTTGTTAGCAAACCATCATGATTTTTTAAAGCTTGGCTTTGTAACGTATAACTGTTTCGTAAACTGTGTATTTATTTACCAAAATATTTGCCAAAGGATTTACACCAATATCATAGTTTGAAAAATTCATTATCATAAAATTTGATGACAATATCAAAACTTTCAAATAATTATTTTGTTTGTAGACTACTTTGCTTTGGTTACAGCGTAGCAAATCCCTTAATTCAATTCTTTATTTGTGTGTGTATGTCGGTTGGTAACGCATTAATGTCTTTATTTCTCAGTGTTTCGTGGAAAAGACAAGATCACCTTTGTTAATGAAAATTTCAACCCGAATAAAGTGTGCAGTAGTGAGGTTGAGGTGGTATTTTCAGTGTGAAAAGTAACTTTCAATTACAGGCCTACCTTAGGGATATGCCTCATATATCTATAAAGCAAGTCCTTTTATCATTAGATATAATATATGGACTAACACGATCGGGTGACATTTAATTGCGAAGCATTCGTTTTGGCTTTGAAACTGTCAGATATTGTATTTGCGAAGGTTTATATGTATTCCTAAACAGTAGTAGTTTTGGCAGCATATCTGAAAAAATGCACACTAAATATGCAAACCAACTCCTGTTCTGAATATAAGGTTTCAACTTACTGCAAGATTCCCGTACGTAGAACGGGCAAACAGCTAGTTATTAAATACTAAAACTGTTTATAACTAAAACAGCTAAATAGAATCCTTCTCTGAACAAATAAGTCAAATTCAATTTATTTTAGTCACAAAGCATGAACAAAATCCTCTCAGTTGGATAATATCTGCAAATTTGTTAATGTTATTGACTCTGAAAAAATTAAACAAGAGTTGTCTCGACGCCTTCAAAACTAAAACTATGTAGAAAGCACGACAAGTAGGTAGCGCAAAGGTGTTGGTAGAATTGCAGGCGCTACTGATATCAACAGCCGTGGAGTAATATTGGTTAAGTCAATTTTTATAATAATGTATAATTATGACGATATAATTTTTTCATCTTTTGCTTCTGTGGTTTTAATGAAACGTAAATATAAAATATATGGCATCGTCTACTAAATTTTCTTAACATTTGATGACCAACAAAATATGTTTGTTTAAGAAAAAGTCTTGGTTTAGAAACTAATAAACTCATAGAAAAGGGCACTATAATTGTATTTTATTACTATATAGAGAATTGCACTCCATTTTATATTTTGATGTGTGCATACTGCTTATATATGTTGGTGTACTGTTTCAGGGTCCAGCCGAATAAATTACCATGATTTATGACAAAGCGATTAGGAAAATAAACACTGTAATTAATTAGTCTAATTGTATATTCATGCGCCAAGTCTTTACTATTTTCAGATACTACTTAAATACACAGAATATCCTATATTTTTATTGTAGTACTACGAGTAAGATATAATTATATTCAATAGTTAATTGTTTTTCTTTGTACACGTGGAAGTAACGTATACACGTTCATTTATACTGAAAACGTTATTTTCCAAACTTTATAAATTTACTTCACGAAAATACTGTGGAAGTATTTTATAACTGGTATGGTAGGGGATACTATAAATACCGAAATGGAAATATACAAACTAAAACATAATAGGATTAGTTTCTCTGTGTAAATCAAAGAAAAAGATTCCATATAAATGTTACGATACAAATTAATTAGTTAAGTTAAACTGTAAAATGATTTGTGATTTACGACTAAATAGACTTCTGTCAACCTGCTGCTTCAACACTTCTGCCATCAACACAGTGGGTATACAGGTGCACACTTAAACGTGATCAACAACCCTGTTCCTTTAGTGTATGTGACTCTAAGCTAATGTCAACTCACCTCCACATGTCCGTTGTGTCCGTTGTGACTACTGTGGCCGTTGTATCGTCTATGGTGCCTGGGGGACGCCGGACGATGAGGTTCCTCCTCTGTCGAGGAAGTCTTGCCATTCACCGCTCTCGGGTGTGAGTTGTGGTTGTGGGGTGAGGCAGACCTCTCGTAAGGAGATCCCCTGTCTTGGGATGGAGAAGAACCGTTCTCTTGTCTGTAGTACCTGTTGTACACGTGCTTCTCCGTAATAGACTGGAACGGCGAAGAACTCTCAGGACCGGAACTGTTCCTACCATTCAGGTTTAGATTCGAACCTTGACTGCCACGAAAGTTCTTCGATCCTAGACTAGATGACGGGTATGGAGGGCTCGGGGAAGACTTTGACGGGGTAAACGTGTGGTTCGGCCCTGTGGGCAACACTTGTACCCTGTCTTTGTACAGTCCTGGCGAGGTGACGGAGGTTCTCGCGGGCCTCTCGGGTTCTCTCGATGTTTCCTTGGAGTTCCTCCACTCGCTGATCCCTTGGAAGTACGTTGTAGGAGGAGGAGGGGGAGTTTCCGCTTCCGGGGAAGACACAAACACTCTGGACGAACTACTAAGATTCCTCGCTGCGTCTACTCCGTTCACTTTGCTTCCGTTTTTGGTTGACTTCATAGTCACGTTGATGAAACTTGTCGACGTTCCTGTCGCAGGAAGGTCGTCATCGTCTCCTAAAGAATCCTTGGAAGATCTAGATTCGCTACCGAAATGATGCTCTAACCATTTTGACGTTTCCACCTTCCTCGTTTCTTCTTCTTGGTCGAAATCGAGTGGTTTCTTGGTAAGCGCGTCCTTCCTGTCTATGGGGCTGGCTCCCGCTATCCCTTCTCTCTGCAGCTGATGCAGCTTGTTCCTCCTCATCTTCCGTATTCTCGTACTGAGACTGTCCCACTCCTGCGGATCCTCTAGCAGTCCCGTGTCCCCCTGGCGGTCACCCTCCATGTTCTCCGCCTCGTACCTCATCTCTCGCCCGATCCTCTTTCCGTCAGCCAAGTAGTCTACGAACTCCTGGTCCTTAGTCTTGGTGTAATGCTGGGAGCTTGACTTGTGCACCTCCTCCTCTTCTTCTCCCCCAGATCCTCTTCCGTCATCTGGCTCTTCTGTATTGTTTATCTGCAACAAGATATAATATTGATTGAATACACTAAATTTTGTTTAAGTATACACGTATTGTATACTTAATACATTAGGGGTGTTCTCTGTTACACGCCGTTCCTAGCAGCCCTACTTAGCCGATTTTTACGATCGATGTGTGATTTTAAAGCTACAGCTTTAAAAACCACCAAACTGTATAAATATGGTGTTTTATGATTTAGTATTGTTGGAGATATGTGTGCTTTATGATCTAGCACACCTGCTAATGATTTGAGAGGTTAAAAAGGTAATATCCTTCAGAGCTTTGCCACCCTCAAGTTTAAATTATATGCTGGACCGTAACAACTTTTTGTTGTTGTTATGAATAATTGTAGTTTAACAGCTGTTCCTGAAGTAGGATTATCGACTATTGGATAATGAAGTAGACAGCCCATCTATTGTATATGGAACAACTGTCACCAATTTTTATTAGAATGTAGAATGTTCTACCATTTGTGTGAAATGAGATATATGTAATGACCCTCTTCCACTCGTGTTTTGACCTTTACTTTTCACTACACAACAAAGACTAATAAAAAACAGTCATTGAAATATTTATTTCTTACAGTTTTAGGAACATTTAAACAAATAACAGCTTTTAGGTTAGGCCTTCTACTTCAGTATCCAATAGTCGATGCTTCTACTTAAAACGGCGTTGGCGCGTCTAGTTCAACAACAAATACTTGTTTGTCTATGTTGGAAAAATCCAAAAAGATAGTAAACATCACTTGTTCATAGTAAACATTCTTTTGAGTCATTAACAATATAATAATGAATTTTGGAATGTAAAAAACATATAACGAAAGTAGGCGATTTCACAGTAGTGTAGCGAACGTGTATTTGAAATACTACTACTGCTACTTTTTGACAACTGTTACCTGATTAAGGTATGTAAATCAATTATTAATATTGAATATCTAAAATCAACTATTATTGTAAATTATTAGTTCTGATCACCTAAGAACTGTTCTAAAAATAAACAAAATCTTGAAAAGGTAAGTAAATGGGAATTACAGTATATATATATTTAGTGCAGTGGACATATTGACCTCAAAATCAAGTTTTGGGCCCTATTAGACTGCAAAACCTACGCACGGGTCCCCTCGTAAGACATAGTTTTATACTGGCGTAGACTCTTAATGAATAATATTGATCATACTCTCAAAACTGGTATGTTTTGGAGCTATTTAATGTTTTCGCATGTATTTCGTATAGGTATTATTAAATTACATTTAAGAATAATTTGCAACATTATCGGGTGAACATGCCTAGGTATTGTAATTACTTGCCACAAGTGTTAGAATGTTTGGCTGGTGGTACTCATACTAAACGTTGGCTTTCAAGTTTCATTCTCAACTCAAGTATAAAACCTTCAAATTATGTAATCGTGAAATAATATTGATCTAAATCTCTTGTTTACTTGTGTCTTATGTAACGTTAAAAATCGTATAATGTATTTTAAGCCCGATTACCCCATAAACCCTGTTACACTTTCAGAAAACAATGGAGTCCTATCTCCATTATGTTTAATAGCGTAATAAACGGTGTTATGACCATTGTTGATTGATAGTTGTGATCTCTCTCGATTGTCAAGGTCAGGTGAAGGTTGCCGTTCACTTATCTCGACTTTCTCCGCCTCCAAGCAACACGACTACGTAGACTGAGACTGACACATTGACACGGCCCTTGGCAAGGTGGAATCTACGACAAGAAATGTATTCTCCCACCAAACAGTCAAACAATCCTAACTCACTCAAAATAACGATTATGTCAAATATCAGCCAGGTATTTAGTACGGTTTTCGAAGTTATTTCATAAGACAGCAATTGTTTGGTTAAATTGGGCAGTTTGAAGTTGCTTTGCGTACATTTAATCTTTTATGCGATACGGAAAGATTCATGGACTATGTTAGGAGATTAATGTAAAGATGATTTAATATGCATTTTTCTATAAAGGAAAGTATTGTTAACATGGATTTCTCATTTTATCACATTACTAAAACAACTCTGCGGCAATGAACTTAAAAATCTTAGCCTTAGCTACAAATGAGTACAGCATTGCCAAAAAACTGTGTGAAATAAAACTTACGTCCTAAAACCATCAGCACAGTCGACACAATAATTTTCATCATACTGTTCGGAAAACAGCCGTTTTATAGTTCTCTAAATCGTCCCCAAAATCAACTTAAAATAGGGTGACTTTTTATGGATGGGTTACTTAAAATAGGGATTAGAAAAAGCACATGCTAGTAGATTTATCTGTTCGCTAACCTCAAAATTGTATTACCTAGTACAATACTAGTACATTATGGAAATGCTGCTAATCACACGATATTTTAGGTTATATTTGTAAACAACAGAAATGTAAACATTGTTAACGACATTGTATCAACTCAAATTATTGGGTCTAATTTTGTAACGATTAGGTTATTTCCACAGTATGATGAAAATAGTTGTTCACCACACGGAGCAAAAGTATTTTTTTACGTAATCGTATTTCCAAGCTAGGCGGTGCATCACTTGTAAAACACGATTGCTTACCAAAAAGAGCCACTTTCGTTCCTAGGGTTGAAAACTACTCTTTCCCTATGTAGTTTTCGAAAATAAATGTTAAATTATGTATATGTATTGGAAAACATAAATATTAAATACAGTAGTTGATTTAGTACTTTCAGCCACATTTACCACGTTTTACGAATTACTTGGTTGAAACAAGTTATAATAGTTATAAGTTAAAACGTTGACTATTGATACAACAAGGCACTCCATGCCCATGTTAAATTTGTCGCCAGTTTTTTTTTATCAAAATAGTATCGTAGTTTATGTGAGCCACTGACCGATTGCGCTAATCTAAATTACTGATTTTTGAATAAAACTTTTTACCATTAAAGCACTGTAATGGCATTACTTGTTGAGAGCTTTAGCAACTGTTATGACCCTTCAGTTTGGTCTGAAACACAAAATAAGGTCAAAAATAGAATTTTAGACACTGGCGCATTCTGTGACGGGCTCGCTCAACAACGTTCTTTTTTGATAACAAAATGGCAACAGATGGTCCATATAGATGGGATGTCTACTTCAGTATCCAATAGTCAATAGTTAAAGCACTGGTCACTGGAGTGTGGTAGTTGGAGTTTACTACCTCTTCGTGCTCTGTGGTCCTCTTGGTCTCAGTGACTACTCTCCCATCAGCCTGGAGCTCGCTGAGGTGTCTTCTGTCATCAGTGTCTACAACCTTCTTGGTCTTGCAGCTCTGATGGACTATACGTCCCTCGTGAGGCCTCGCCACCTCTTGACCGACGAGAGCGACTCTCAGGTCTACGCCCTCCTGGCTCTGTCGTTGGATAGCCGACAGGTATTGCTGCAACAGGACAATATTCACGGTTACAAGAAGTTGTAATACCAGTGTGTGAACTACAAGATGGAAACAAGGAGAAAGGTTTACACGTGTTCAAGGAAGACAACAAGAGCTGTAACTGTATATTATGAACTATATGAAATGAGGATGTTGTATGTCCAAGATCAAGGTTCAAATCATCATTAAAAGACTGTTATTAAGGGGATTCGCCACTGAAAAGGGTGCATTTTTTTATTTAATGAGGAAAGTCGTTAAACTATTTTTTTCTAGTAGGGTATAGTTTAACAAAAAATGGAAAAATTTTGATTTACTTCTAAATATAAATTATAGGCGGTAAAAAAATAAAATAGAGGTTTTTCGATCAATTTGTAAGGGGTTTTAAAAATCGATATTCTGAAGAGAGTTCTTTATGGATTTTGATAAATTTGGTGTTTTTTTAAAGACAGTTATCTTAACTTAAAATTTAGGTAGATTCATAATAATATCTCAGATACTTTTTTTGCTGTGACACATTAAATATAATTTTTCTTAAAAAAAAAGAAGTAGTTTGAAAAAAACGTTATTGTTCAGTACCTAATTAACTTAGATACCTAATTCTACCAAAATATTTTCCTAATACTGTCTAGAATAAGTAGTAAAAATTTCAACAATGTACCTTTTGTGGCTCTCAAGATATATCAAATTTTGTATTGAAAAACGTGAAATTTCAATGTTGCTGATAACCGCGTTTGAATAAGGTGTCCTATGACCTTGTAGCTATCGTAAAGAGCGAAACCCCTTGGTTATAACATATAATAACATTCATACATGGATTATATCATACTTTTTGGATGTAATAGGGTCCAATGTACAAAGAAATGTAAAAAAATATTTTTACAATTTGTCATGATTTTTACCTATTTTCAGTGGCGAATCCCCCTGGACTTTGAAGAATTGAATGAGCATAGATACAATATAAATCACTTGTTTACACTGTTTTTGCAGTCTTTAAAATTATTATTTTCAGAAAACCGACCTGTTAAATTAATTGCATCCAAACAAACAATATTGTTAGTACAATAAACATATTATGTACCGATCCGGGATCTCTTTAACTCTTTAAAGAGGTTATCTAACGAATTCCGATAAGTCCTAGGATAACAATGATGAAATTATCCTCACCAAAAACAGTTTTTAAAGCAATTAAGTAACGGCAACAGCGATGTTATCCCATGACTTACGCTCCTGAGTTGATCGTAGTAGAGGATGCAGAACAGCAAGTCCCAGTTCATGGTACACCACCACGGTCAACACACAACGCACCGGCACAACTGACATGGTCCTCAGCTCCACTGGTGCAGAAAGTCCACACTTTCTCACCCTGGCCACTTTCCTTGACCTTCCGACCCTCCCGCACGCCGCACTCCGCATATCTTACCTCTCAACAGCTTAATTCCCCGCTCCCGCATCCTCAAACGCCCTTTCACCAGTTTTACTAATGTAAATTCCTATATGGAGCTTTCTGTACATTTTGATTGCCATTTTTGAGTTAAATTTATTTACTTCATCTGAAATTAAAACTACAATAAACCGAGTAGTACATTCTCACTTAAATGACATTATTTTGTGTGAAGAACTATAGATTGGATTAATTAAAAATCACAAAAAACACGATATGACATTTTAAGATAAGATATACATATTGTGGTAATGAAAATGTTAATGACCTTGACATACGTTCATAATACAATGAAACATTTATGTACCAAGTGAACGAATAAATAGTTTGTTTTGTTTTTAGCAGATTCATATGTATAATAATAAATATAACGAATCAACACAACACAAGCCGACACGTCTGTACTGTCTATCCTAGAACGCAACCTGTCATGTCGCTGAGTTGATAAAATTTAATTATTGCTCCGATACCATCGTGCAACCCACATATAACGCGAAGACCGGCGACTAACAAGGACTTGGGATCCTAGGAAGCGGTCATTAACATAGAGTAGAGACATATCTAATGAGCCGTACACATCCGAGATCAGCAGATTCTATCTGTCCGTGGAATTCGAGTCAAACGGTGAATTAGTGGTTGCGCTCACACGTTCCGCGCTCGTGACTGGATACTAGATACTATCCTTCACTGAGATATCCAACCCTCAACCCCGGGATATCATGATCATGGTTGTTCTTCACTACAGACATGCTAGGTTGCTTTGTGGATACTAGATACTATCCTTCACTGAGATATCCAACCCTCAACCCCGGGATATCATGATCATGGTTGTTCTTCACTACAGACATGCTAGGTTGCTTTGTGGATACTAGATACTATCCTTCACTGAGATATCCAACCCTCAACCCCGGGATATCATGATCATGGTTGTTATTCACTGCAGACATACAGGTTGCTTTGTGGATAATAAATACTATCCTTCACTGAGATATCCAACCCTCAACCCCGGGATATCATGATCATGGTTGTTATTCACTGCAGACATAATAGGTTGCTTTGTGGATAATAAATACTATCCTTCACTGAGATATCCAACCCTCAACCCCGGGATATCATGATCATGGTTGTTATTCACTGCAGACATACTAGGTTGCTTTGTGGATAATAAATACTATCCTTCACTGAGATATCCAACCCTCAACCCCGGGATATCATGATCATGGTTGTTATTCACTGCAGACATGTTAGGTTGCTTTGTGGATAATAAATACTATCCTTCACTGAGATATCCAACCCTCAACCCCGGGATATCATGATCGTGGTTGTTCTTCACTACAGACATGCTAGGTTGCTTTGTGGATAATAAATACTATCCTTCACTGAGATATCCAACCCTCAACCCCGGGATATCATGATCATGATTGTTATTCACTGTAGACATACTAGGTTGCTTTGTGGATAATAAATACTATCCTTCACTGAGATATCCAACCCTCAACCCCGGGATATCATGCTCATGGTTGTTATTCACTACAGACATACTAGGTTGCTTTGTGGATAATAAATACTATCCTTCACTGAGATATCCACCCCTCAACCCCGGGATATCATGATCATGGTAGTTCTTCACTACAGACATGTTAGGTTGCTTTGTGGATACTAAATTCAATCCTTCGCTCAGATATCCTGATTAGTTGGGTAGCTGAAATGATATAGTGACCGTACCTGTCAGTCAAAAGGTTGCCGGTTCGTTGTCCATTGTGCTTATTATTGAAAATAGTCCTGGCTAAATAAGCAGCTAGATTTGAAAAAGGTTTTATTAGGTACAAGTATATATAAGGAAGAGTTCCTCCAAGAGGGATTTAAATGCAAATCGTGAATGCAAACGACCAACAAGAAAAGAGGATTCTGCATAAGAATGAAGAAACCTGTTAAACCGTAAAATGCAATGATAAGTGTTATGTTTCACGGAAGGAAGGAGAAATTGAAATACGTTACAGGAAAGTTCCTCGACAGTGTGAATTTACAAACAGAATTCCGTAATGGTTTCATTTTAGATAATGAATCTTAAAAATAGTAAATTTAAGAAATGTTAATGTATAAACATCAGTCGTAAACTGAGTTCATAAACATAGTCGAGACTCGACACACGACCGACGCGCGTCTACATGTCCCTAATAAAAATAAAAGTAAGCCCACCGTTTATTTGTCAATGTGTAAGTGTAACTATCGTGTATGTGTCTACAAAACTTCAAGACGCACCTAATAGGGAAGTTCAATATCTTATATTAGGACTCACGATGGCGATATAATTTTGCCGAAATGCATCTCCTGTAAAAGGATACACCAGATTCGATCGGCGGACACAGGTAATTTAACCTTTTACTAATTGATAAAATTAAATATAATATTATCAAAATTTTAAATACACACTACATAATGATCGTAACAAGAAAGTTAGTTCACTTTATGTATTAAAATCAAAGCAGACCTTATTATCAAAACCGGTGACGTATATTTTTGATAAAAACCAGTGAACCAGAGAATCTCAGAAATATAACTACACATATATAATGCTTTGCTGCCCTATCAAAAGGTTGTTTACTAGGTACTGGCCTTTGTATAATCAGCAACGTTGATAAGAATCGTAATCAAGATATTATCAAGGTGAAAAGACAATGTTTCCATTCAACAATAGACAATAAAGTCTTACATTACAACACTGCAGTAGCGACGCCGCGCCGCGCCGGTAGACTATGTGTATGTCATAAACAGTAAACACATGCTGACTTGACTTGCCAAACTCTAAAAAGGAAGAAGGGAAGAAAGGCACTGTCAAGCGTCCTCATGCAAATGGTTTTGAGTCAACAGCATTCCAACAAGCCCATAGTAATGTTTCATATCCCCAAAACAGAGGGCTTTGCTTGATGGATTAGCATATTTTAATTTCAAGGTTATGCTTGGAGTGGGATGACAAGGCATAGTCAGTCAGTGCCACTTGTTGAATGTTTTGTAAAAGCAATAAAATATTTACATCTTCCGTAGCACAGTCATTTATGGAAAATAAATGTCATCTCAGTGCATTGACCTAGATTCTAGAATAAGTTCTCTTTAGCGATTGTTTAGCCCAACGATCACATGTTTAGCCCTACTCTACTTGTAACAACTGGTTGTGCTATTATCACGTTTTCCCCGAACATGATCTACTGTTTAGCAACCACCCCGCATGCGCTCGACATGTTTAACCAAATACCAGGACGTTATGTAAGCCCGTCAGCCACACCCTCTAGTAGTAACACGATAAACATTCCTGATGACAGTTTGTACTTTCGCCGGCCCGCGGCTCACTAGATCGCACCACAATCGATTTCACCCCGCCTTGGCGCGAATTTCGTCATATTTCCCGCCATCAGCTACAGAGCAGGTGGTGTTGCTATTGGCGCTTGAGGTCAAGAATGCCCTTTACAATCACAATCGTTGCCAATTTGACCGTGGATGATTGCCTTGCTTTGTGTAGCCTAATTTAATTTCCTTTCTTCATGCTTATTCCGACAGTTTACGTAAG